ATTGGAGAGGAAGAGATCATAAGATCATTCTGATTCAGGGTTAATCATGCACATGATCAGAAAAATTGACAATTGGATAGGGACCACTACGATTCACAGTAAAGTCGCCTTCCTGAATTTTAACATCATTATCACCAAAAATCGGGATGACAGATTGTGGAAGTCCAGATGAACCTGCTATCGTCTCAGCATAAGACTTCACTGGTTGAGCGGTGTCCAGATTCATTTGGAAAGCGGGATCAGTTGGTGCAACATCTTCCTCCATTGGAGAGGAAGAGATCATAAGATCATTCTGATTCAGGGCTATGACATCCCTTTTTAGCATGTTGTTGGTTAGACAAATCAGTAGGAGAAGCTGGCCGTTCCAGCTAAGAATCGACTGTGAAACCAACCGGTGTAGCTACCGGCTGAAGGAAGTAAACCATGTATGAACTAAGTGATCTTAATGGTAAATAATTGTTGTATTCCTTGAGGTCTCTGAGTTCGAGCACTAGGAATATTAATGTGAGTATTCAATGTCAAATGGTTGAAGATTATATATTTTTAAAAGAATATTGACAACCTTAAACAATAATTGACACTCATTATTTATTTTCATTTAGTTAAATTTTGTCATACAATTTCTAAATTTTACACTCTATAATAATTTTTCTAGCTCCACCACTGATGATCATGATAAAAAAATTTAAACAAATATGAACAAAACATGAATATTTTGAAAACTAAACAAACAAACATTAACAAGACTATATAAGTACAAATTCAATTCTTTTAGGTAAAAATGTAACTTTTGCCCCTATAGTAGACCCAATTTATCACCTTTTTCCCAATCGTATTTTCACATCAATTTTGCCCTCAAAATTACTCAATTGTATCATTTTATACGCTACCTATAATTTAAACCCTAAACTATAAATCTTAAACCCTAAATCATAATACCATAATCTCTAACCCATAAACCCTAATCCTAAACCCTATCTTAGAGTTTATAATTTAGGGTTTTAAGTTAGGAGTAAGATATATGATGATGTAATTAAACAACCTTGAGGGCTAAATTGATGCGAAAATACGATAGGGGCAAAAATTACAAATTGGGTCTACTATAAGGACAAAGGTGACCCTTAACCCATTCTTTTACGTACAATACTAACTAGGGGTGAGCAAAACTCAAATCGACTCAAAATATTGATTTTTTTTTCAATTTCGAGTTATTCGAGTCAACTCAAATTATTAATTCAGTTTTCAAGTTCGATTTGAGTTGAAATTTTGAAATTTCAAGTTACTCGAAAAACTGAAAATTTGACTAAGTATTTTGACAATTTTATGATTTAGTCCATGATTTCATTATTTGTTCAATTTCTCCTTCATTTTAAGTAAATTTTTTTACCAAATTTGACTTATTTATACTCTCAAAATATTTTTTAAAATATAATATTATTGATATATTTTATAATTTTAGATTATTTTTTATATATTAAATAACATTATAATGTAAAAAGAATAATATATATATGGTTAAAGAAAGTCAAAATTTTAGAATAAATCCTTGTCATAATACTATAAATAATTATAATAAAATTAGTATAGAAATTTGAATAACTCGACTCAACTCAAAAAATTCAAGTCAAGTGTGAGTGTAAAAAACAACTCGTCCACTCGAATAACTCACAATTTTTGACTCGACTCGATCGAATGCTTACTAACTATAATTCATATTTGTCAAATTATTATTATTAAGGATACATATCATTTAATCTTTAAAATTAATATTTTTTTAATTTATTCCCTATAATATTTATTGGTTCACATTAATATTATAACTTTATATCTTTTTCCAATTTGATGATTAAATTTAAATTCCTTCATAGTATGGCACACTATTTTTTGATATGTTACATCATTATTTAAAAATAAAAAGAGTATTATTTTACGTATACTTTTATTCTTTAGGTCATGCTATGACATAGTATCAAAGAGCCACTCTATCTTATATTAACGAAATTTAAATACGAGGACTAAACTAAAAAAGTTTTAAAGTTATGAGATCAAGGCGGACAAAAGAATCAAGAATCAAATTGTAAGAATTTTAAAGTTCAAGGACTATCCCTTTATATATTCCTTTAAAGACGTCAAAAATAATGTTCTATCTGTCACGGTCCCTGTTATCAGATTCTGTGTTTTTTATCTACTCCAACTGTAGCCAAACAGCTGCTCGCTTCGCATGTTATTGTCATTTTCCCACTAATTTACTCAAGAAAATTTATTTCGCGAGAGAGTTAGGGGTTATATCAAAATACTTATAGAGAAGTAGGGATCATGAGGTTTCAAGATATGGAAGCTGGACGGCCTTTTTCGACGCGCCAAATCTGAACAACGGCAACCAAGATGCCACCCAAGCAGTGGCTTCGGGCATTTTCCTGATTAAAAACGCCGTCTCTACCTTCCAGCGACTCGTCAATACCCTCGGCACTCCTAAGGACACGCCTGAACTCCGAGAAAAGCTGTGAGTCTTTGCCCAATTTCATCTGTTTAGATCGCAATTTTAACCGATCACGGGATATAAATATAATCCTGTTGTGATTTTGAATCGAAGTACATAACATTGTTGGTTTAATTGTATATTACATCTTCCTTTTTTGGGTTTTTTTAATTAGATATGTCAAATAATACCTTTTGTCAAGTTCAATTTGACTGTACTTTTAAGAAAGCTCAGCGAATTATCATTGTCGTTTGGATGAATGTCAGAATTCTCTGAATAAGTGTATATGTTTTTTTTATATATATAATGTTGGATTTTGTATTTTCTTGCTCACTCAGTGGTCTCATCATTGTATTGCATGGGCAACGAGTTGCTATCTTTCACATTCTTGATTGATTTTGACTATATGGTAATTAGATTATGAGTCCTAACAAATCTCACTCGGCATGCATAAAACGAGGCTACATATTGGGCAATTAGTGAAGGACACTTCGGCTAAACTTAAACAAGCTAGTGAAACAGATCATCGTGCTGAAGTTAGCGTTAGCTTGTTTTCTGGTTATGATTTTGGTTTCGCCGATGCAGCCTTCTCTTTTACTTATAAAGTCAACAAAGAGGACATATGACTGTACTGTCTGTTGTTCATGATTTCTCTTGTTCTATATTTCGAACTCATGGTAATTCGTACATGGGTTATTGAACTTATTTTTATAACCACTCGATCCCTCCTCTCTCTCTCTAACCCGTTTCCCCTCTGGAATTACTTGATGCCCTTTATCCGTGTAATTGTAGGCAAGCAAGAAGGTAACTGATGCCAAACTTGCAAAAGACTTTCAAGCAGTTTTGAAAGAATTTCAGAAAGCTCAACGGCTTGCAGCTGAAAAAGAAACAGCCTACACTCCTTTTGTTCCCCAAACAGCTCTTCCTTCAAGGTATTTATCATCTGAGAGTTTACGTGTACCGAGATGTATAAGTGATTTGAATGCTTTTGTGTTCATGGCATACATGCAAATGGAGTCAGTGGCAAGATGGTTCTGAAAATCCTTCATAAAACATCCATATTGATTTCTGAATTTTCTTCCATGTACTCGTCGTAATTGCAAATTGTTTGATGGTTATCCTTGTGTTATACTTCGAACTGACTTGAACTTTTTCATGTTACCATTATTCTCACTAGAGGTTCTTCCTGTTTTATGCAGCTACACAGCTGGTGAGGTAGACGTAGGATCAGATAAAAGTGCCAAACAGCGAGCCCTTCTTGTGGAATCAAGAAGGTAAGTTATTCTTTAAGAATTGTTATCCCTTTCATATGGTGATCACTTCTGGAATTTGGACATGGATTTTGAAATTTTTTTCTCATTATTCCTCTCTATAGTTCATGTTCGTTAGGCAGCTTGTACATGTTTACCAAATAGATTCTGGATTATATGAAACTCTATGCCAGTTTTCCTGGTATTTTCTCTGTGTTCTGTGTTTACATGCATGCTTGCCTGTTTTTGTATTTGTGTATACTCTTAGATTGGAGTATCATAAATAAAAAGTTCCCTAGTACCTAGTACTACACAATTTTAGATTCTAAATAGTAAATACTTATGGAGGTTGATTGACCACATTCTTTCCCATACATCAATACTGTGTGTGTATTCAAATTATCTTATTGTTGATTTTAAGAAATGGTTATCAAACTACAGCCTTTTAACACGCGTCTTTTTTCTTTGCAGACAGGAGGTCCTGCTGTTGGATAATGAGATTGCATTTAATGAGGCCATCATTGAAGAAAGAGAATAAGGAATTCAAGAAATTCAGCAGCAAATTGGTGAGGTCAATGAGATCTTCAAAGACCTAGCTGTGCTAGTTCATGAGCAAGGAACAATGATTGGTAAGAATTTCATCTCTTGTATTGAGTTCATTTTTATTGTTCTGATCTTCTGGGACATGTTGAAAAGGAAAGGTAATCTATGCTGCAGATGACATTGGTACCCATATTGAAAATTCACGGGCTGCCACTGTACAGGCAAAATCCCATCTTGTGAAGGCTGCAAAGACTCAGAGATCAAATTCTTCTCTGGTAATGTATAATGTTCCGATTCTTCTGTTTTAATTTTACTTATCATATACTGTTATGCACCGGATGTGAAGTCCCACCTCGACAAAGATACAATCTCTTTATACCCTCTTAATTGGGATAGTGGAATTTGATTTGGGGCTTCTTTGCGGGTCTGGGAATTAATGTCGCCACCCTTTTTGCGCAGACTTGCTTACTCCTGGTGACATTTGCAATTGTGATTTTGATCGTGGTCACAGTCCTTGCAACCTGATAAGAAGCTCGTCCGATTCGAACATAGAAAAAATCTAGAGATCTTTGAAGAACAAGAGGGTGATCTTTTTGGTGATGCATTTGATTAGTATCTTGTCGAGGGTATAAAGAAATATACTACATTCCATTTCAGCGAACCATAACATACCATGACTACCATAAACACCATTGATAGGAAGAAATAACTCAGACGAAACGAGGTCAAAATCTTTAAGAAACAGATGTGGAGTCTGTCTCATAATGACAACTTAAAATTGAGAAATTGATGTTGGCTAAGGTTGTTTCATGTTTTGGTGCCCGACCAAAACATAGACGCGTATACAATTAACACAGTCGATAAAGAAGCTGTAATAAAGGTTCCAACGGGTACAAATCCAGTATGTGCCTTGATTCCAGCAGGTATTTTCCATTTGACAGTACTGATTCTGGATTTAGCACTGTCCTCGAGTGACATCAACAAACAACTCTGCTTTCCTTCCATGCTGCATCTCATAAACATATCAGGTTCACCGATTTCGACAATAGAATAGCCACTTTCATTAAGGGGCTGCAAACACATGAAAAAAAATGTCTGAACTTTCACCTAATACCTTCATTCGACAATCAACACCCCTATTCAAGTGCATTTTGCCTCTAGTGACAGTTGCATCGATCACAAAGTAATTTAAACGTGCTTTTCTTTTACTTACTTGATATCGTGCATGTAGTGGAAGCAGTATGTTGATTTCCATTCCATTGTTCTGCATAAACAAGATGTCAGATGCGACATCAATGTGGACTTCAACAACAGACCGATTGGACCGAAATGAAGGTAATTCTAATTTTGTGTCTCCGAAAACAGCTATTTCTAAATCCTGCAACAAGTAGAACGCACAAATCAACATCGAAAAACAGAAGATGAAGCAAGCCTAGTTTTAACATAATGAATTGTTTGTTTTCTATGATAAGGAAAATCAATTGCTGGTTTACCCATCGGCTTTTGAAGATTTTGAAGCTCAAACGGGTCAGCAAATACTCCAAGGGGTAGTCTTTGTATAACTATAACTTCACATATATGAGAAGGTAATTCAGGAATGGATCTTCCCCAGTCTGCAATCTGATAGACAGATAATTGTCGATGAGAACCTTCTCCAACAAGAAAGAGCTCTAGCGCCGATAGCCTCACACCACGATTCTGGTTTTCGGGAGTTATTCGACACAAACCGGAAGAAAGTTCATGTGCCATAAAATTTTCAAAACTAGAATCATCCAGGTTCTCATAGTTGTCAAAATAAGATCTCATTATATATGTCCCGTCATCTGAGTTCTGGAAATCGGATTGCCCGCTTGTTTTGACCTGAAAATTAAGAATGCCAAACTCATTGAAACTCAGCTCCTTGGCTCAAGTGTCGGAGAAAATTGCAGCAGAAATAGAGAGTTTAATAACATAGATGATGCCGACTAACCACACTTGAAGAAACGATGGCACCAGAAAAGAAAATCCACAAGATTGCCAGTTTCCGATGCAGGCATAATTTACATTGTTGGGTTGACATTGAGTAACTGAATGGAAGAAACGAAATGGGGCGAGAAATTACTTAGCAATCACATGGAAGAACACTTTCTGCAAAGAAAACAAGAATCCTGAAAATATTTAAGCAGAATTTAATAGTGTAATCCATGAACTGAACCTAGAAGAAATTAGATCGAATCTAGAGAGTCTAGATTCAAACTTGTCTCTCACTAAATTCGTATTTGATCTAAAACTTAAAAATTAGTTTTCAAAATTATGGAAAAATTCCACCGGTTCAAACTTCAAGTATCTTATTAAAAATAATTGTCCGAAGAAAACTCGACATAAATGATAAATATTCGTAAAGTCATGCATGAACATTCCAAAAATAATTGTAATTTCGAAAGTCCCAAATTACATAAATAATAATAATAATCCCAAAATAAAATTAAAAATAAAATCTAAATAAAAATTCATAAAATAATAATTTTCTGAAAATAAATGACGAAACCATCCAAGTACCGGTTCACCTAGTATCTAAAATAAAAATTGTAGGGGCATAAGCTATTAAGTTTACTGTGTCTCTAAAATGCAAACCAACACAAATCATAACATAATTCGAATCAATCAATAATAATCATAGTCCGCATCAAATAGTGATAGTCATAAATCTGAATGTTATGCAAATGCTTATGCACCCACCCGTACTCCTATCACAATATCCGAAGAGTGGGTTTCCCATAACACACTATATGAAGTCGGGTTCACACAAAGCAGAGGCCCCTGCATGCGAAAGTGTCATTCACCCCCATCAAGTTATTTGATTTGATAAAGTTATTTGATTTGATAAATTGTAATCAATGTAGTCAGTTACATTGGCGAATTAGGTGAAGATGCAGAAAGAGAGATTCGAACCCCCAGTAAACAAAAGTCTACGTGGCAGTTCCTATGTTACGCCTTGAACTCCTACATAATTATTATGGCCGATAACTCGACTGAATAGCGAGTTATTCATATTAGATTGTTCAATAGGTACGAACAATATCAATTCTAACTAGAAAACTAGTTATAAAAATAGAAAACTTTTCATCATTTTTTTATCACTTTTTCTTTAGCCTCCCAGATCTAATAATTTTTTTAATGAAATAGGTCTGCTTACTTCCCCTATCAAAATTCGCCCCAATATGACATGCAAATGTCATTCGTATCCGATGTCCGATCCGATCTGAGTAACAATATTACATGAACAGATGTTCTGAAGCATATATTTGATTCGATAATTCATCATATTCACATATTAATTAAGCACAACGATATTTGATTCTAACAGTTCAACATGTATCACATGACATTTTTATATTTATGATGAGAGTTTAATATTACATATTTTTATTATTATTTACCTCTCATTTATCGCTTGGATATTACTAATTTATCTTTATTTTGAATTTATTTTGGACATGAACTTCACTTGATTAATTAGCCTAAAAACTAGTAAATTTCGACGGTCCATTCAACATGTTATAGAAGATAAGCAAAGCTTCCTTGAATATTTAATTTGGAATTTACCTGGGACAATGTTATCGATAAGATAAAGAAGAATTCAACCAAAAGACTTAATTATTTATCTTTTGTGATAAATCTTTTTAATTTAGGATTTTTTGTTTGATTATTCTATTATTATTTTATTTAATTAGTTATTTTATTAAAACTCTTATTAGAATTTTTAGTTTGATTATTTTAGTAATTAGTTATTTTATTTATTTAGAACTCACGGGTTATAAATACCTTTTAGGTTCAACAGTTAAAACAGAGATTGAAATTTATTTTCCTTGGTTATTTATTGAAATTTTACTTTTCTTTCATCTCCATATTTGTTTATTTTCTTTCATTATTTTCTTTTCACAATGCTAAACATGATTAATTATTTTCTTGGTTAAGCTTCTACTTAGTCAAAGGTTTTTGTGAAACTCAATTTCATTCGTGAGAATTGAATCTTGATCTTCATACCTTCAGATCGTATTCACTCAAAAGGTGCATGTTGATTTGAAGAATGTTTTGCTCGAAGTTTGGAAGTCGAATCGTTTGGTCGTAATTTGGCTTCCTATGAACAAACTTAGTAGCGATCCGTTAAGGGAAATCAAGATCGAGTTCGATTCTCGATGAGACGCTATAACTCGAATCGGGCCTTTCTAGAATTTAAAGTTATTTTGGATCTAACGACGATTGACGTGACTAGACCAACAAAAATCATATTTCAGAGATAGACTTGAAATTTCTATTAACTGGAGAGAGGAATTAGCTGCAGGGGTTGTGCCGTGTTGATTGTAACTGACACACATCACAAAGGGAAAATTTTATTTCGATGATCGATCAAAATTGAGACTAAGCAAAACCAGAGGTTATATCATCTTTATTGAATTTTTCTACTTTATTTATTTTCTCATTATTATTTTTATTCAGTATTTATTTATTTTCAAATCCCCTTTTTATTTTCTTGCAGTTGATTCAATCTGAAATAACATTATCAACTTCTTTAGTATGTGGATCGACACTATTTCTCTATTATACTTTATTTATTTGAAAATTAAAAATTATTTTTATTTGACAAATTCGACGCTTGTCAATTTATCACAATCATGCTCACACTAAACATGCTTTCAATTAATTTAAACCAAACAACAAATAAATAACCAAACAAAATAATAGCATCGAACAGAGACACGCCTTGATCAAATAGGTAACGACGGTCATAACGTTTATCACGATCAACACGAACAATGGATCGACCCAAATCAAACCTACAAAATAATTTAATAAATAAATAATCTAAATAACCGACAATTCCCAACTACTATAAATAACAACTATCACTTTCGCTCGACACGAGAAATATGATTCAGTTCGAAATTCGGGGGTAATGACGGAGGAGACGGTAACTCGGTTCCGGTTCGATTTCTCTTGTAAAAATTACATCAATCAATTTCAGACCCCAATAAACTAATCTCATATTAGAATAATAATTTGCAACGACTAATTAATTTCTGATTCGTTTAGGAGACCGGCAGCTGCCTTTGGTTCGAATTAAGAGACTGTCGGATCGATGAAAAGGGACTGCCAGTTTGGGAATAATGCTGCCGGAGCTACTGCTCTCACGGTAGGCCGGCAAAGGAACTTGTGGCAGAAACCACAGCCAGGGAAGGTGTCCACACTGCCACACAGTGAAGTACGGAGTTGATGAAATGGGTTCTTACAGCCTGCCAAGGCTGGTCGGTCACGAAACCAGGCCGAAAAGGACTTCACCGGCGGAGATATGACCAACCGAGCACCCAAACGACCGGAGAAAGCTATGGCTACAAACGGCGAAGAGGAAAGCTCCGGTTCACTTCCTTTTTTCATTACTTGACTCAAACAATGTCACAGCGTGGAGAAGGCGAAAGGTCACGACGAAAGGACTTACCGGCGACCAAGGTTCGACGAAGCGACGGTTGAACGGCAAGAAGTTGATGCGCAGCACTGTTAGGTTTTTTTAAAAAGAAGAAAAAAGAGACGTAAGGAATGGCAAACGGGTGGATCGTGTACGGATACCCCCTCCCCTCCCCATAACCACTTAATATTTTACAATTCACCACCCATGATGGGTAAAATTTTTTAAATCCACACCCGCCCCTCGGGTTTATTCTCAAATCTATCCCAACACCCACAACTCAACTGGAGACGTAACCGGCTAGACCCGTCTGACAGCTATGGGTGTGCAAAAAAATCCGATCCGTTTATCAAATCCAAAAATTCAGATATCCGATCCGTTTTTCAATTTTCGGATAGTTCGGATCGGGTATCCGAAATTTTTTACGGATTATAGGATCGGGTATGGATTGATAAAAAACCATGTTCGGATTATCCGAAAACCCGAAAAAAAATTTGGGCTATATTCGAAGACCAGAAGAGGTTTTCGCATAAGGAGTGGACACGGCTTATTCATCCTGAGCTATCGTAGAAGAAGTCTGCAGTTAAGGCGTGGGCACGCCTTACTAGTTCGTACAACCCTAAATTAAGGTTACGAATTTACAACGAAAAAGGAGTTTAATGACGGTTAAAAGACTCTATTGAATTATTATTATCTTAAAAAAAAGGAGTTTAAGGCGATAAGAATTACAAATACTAGATAGACACCTAAACAAATTCATTCTTTAAGTTGTAAAAATATTATGGACACAACTCTCTATGAGTTATTTAATCAGCTACTCTTTGTTTGTTGATGCACCTGTTTCTAATTATAATAAAGTTTCACTTGCCCAAAATTAAAACATGATTTCATTTCTTTTCTCACACCAACAACCAAAAAAAGCTTATACAAATCTAAACAAATGATCCAGGATGCGTAAAATATATCCCGGAGTATAGATCTTTACCTTTGCATTATCCCAATCCAGAAAAAGAAGATCAAATCTAAATTGCATTGGTTTTGGGATTTTTTTAAGATGTTTTTGTTTTTCAATGCATGATTATACAAATTATAATGCATAAATTATTCATAATTTTCAAAATCAGCAGAATGTTTGAATGCACTTAAATTCAGAAGAATACCAAAATCGATAATTCAATATACGTACATATAAAGTGTTCCTTAAAAATCAAAATCAATATACGAATGCTCTTAGATTCAACAGAATATCAAAATCAAAATAACGGAGTAATGACTACTGACCTTGTATCTTGAACAGAACTAAGAGGATTACATCTGAAAACCGGAGTATTCACCTTATGACAAATTAAAGCGGCCACAAACAACTTCGATGCAGCAAACAAGATTGGGGAAGGTGGTTTTGGATATGTGTATAAGGTGACATACAACTCTACTACCCGCAGAGGAGACCAGAGTAAAGAAGAAAGAAGAAGGCGTACCTGAATGAACTAGAGACCAGAGTTTGAAACTTAGAGAAGAAGAACTACCAGAATATCGGCGCAGTAACTAGCAAACAAAGCACGAGAGGTTTAAAAAAAATTGATTCATAAACTTATCCCTAATATCTGGTTAAATTATAAGTTATATCTTATACAATATTAAGATTTATAAATTAGTCTCTAAAATTATACCTAAATTCATAATGGTCCAAAATTTAATGGATATTTAGTGGGCGGGCGGATGCAGGGCGGGTAAGATCTCAAACCCATCACCCGCCCACTACCCGCAACGGGTACCACTTTCTGAATCCACACCCGCCCACTACCCACAAAAGTTATACCAATCCCGCCCCAATTGGAGCGGGTACGGTGCGGAATCCACGAAATTGTAACCGTTTTCCATCCCTACGAAGGCACCGCGCGATTCTTACCAGGGAGGGAAGGATTTGTGTTTTAATAAAAAAAAGGGGGTTAATCACCTAGTTGGTTCTAAAATTTTCTAAGGTTTCTACAATTAACTCCAAAGTTTAATTATTACGATTTAGCCACCAAACAAAAATAAGGGATTTAATGATTTTCCCCAAATTTTAGGATTTTCAAATTGGGGATTATTTGGGGTGTTACAAATAGGATCTATCAATCTTGCAATATATAAGGACCACTTTCCATAATTTAAAATGTTCTCTTCACTTATTTTTTACAACTTTTAACCCAGGCAACAACATGAGCAATTCCATTATCAACAAGAATTATGATTCAAATTATCAATAGCATCCTTTCAAAAAAAAATTATCAACAACCCAATCCATAGCTTATCAAAACTTACAGAGAGAGATTTCAGTTACATAAGAAGGAGATGCAGATGCGGTCACAAAGCATACAATCAGATTATTCATAAAAAAAGACAAATTTGAGAGAGAAAAAGAAAGAGCTGACCTTAATTTTCCTTTTTATTTTCTAGAAAAAGCAATCAAGCACCAAGCTCTTAATGTTTGTGACTGAACCAAATCAATTTTGAAAGAGGATTAGATTTCTATTTCCCTTCTGATCTTATATCTATCCAAGACTGCAAGGACGAGGACATGTTTGGTTTGTTTCTTTCTTCAATTTCCCTTTGGTTTCCATTATTCTTACAGCCACCATATTCAAAGGGTTGATTTATTTGGTTTATGTTTGTAAACTTCTTTAGAGAACTTATTAGATTGTTTTCAGGTGTGAGTTTTTAGTCTTAAATTTTCTTTGCTAAGACCTAGGACAACGAAATGAGTTGTGACGAGAGAATTCTTAAATTCCTTAATCTTTCTGCTTTTCTACTTGTTTGTTTTATCTATTTGTCCTCCTTACATGACCAGATGTCATAGACAAAGCTCTTATTGTTTTACATCGCAGTTCTAAAATGTCATTCTTCATTATTCTGTTCTATCTCTATTTCTCCCAAGTTTCTTTATTTGTTCTCTCCGGCTTTGAAGAAAGGTCTTACTTTTGGAGCTCAGCTAGCCATTATTATTCGCCATGCGCATAGTTACTAGCAGGTTGGAAATGTGCAGTCACAATGCCACTAGTTCTTTGGAATAAGCTTTTAGTTCACTGCACTTATCCAACAACGAATTTAGCTTCGTACTTCCGAATATTTGAAAACCAGAAAGGTTTAATTTGAATACCCAGAAAGGTTTAATTATGGAGAACACCCAAAACTTGAAAACAATGTTTTTTTCCTAGTGAAATTGAAGAGATTCCAGGGTCCAAAAGCAAACTTTTAACCCAGGAAACAACATGAACAATTCCATTATCAACAAGAATAATGATCCAAATTGTCAATATCAATCCAACCCAGAGCTTATCAAAACTTGCGCAGAGAGATTTCAGTTACATAGAAAGAAGATGCAGATGCAGTCGCAAAGCATACAATCAGATTATTCATGAAAAAAAAATTGAGAGAGAAAAAGAAAGAGCTGACCTTAATTTTCCTTTTTAGTTTCTAGCAGAAGCAATCAATTGCCAAGGTCTTAATGTTTGTGACTGAACCAAATCAATTTTTGAAGAGGAAGAGCAACTCCGATTAGAAGACAACAGAGATTTGGGAGTAAATAAGGCCCAGATGCTCCATTGTCCATAACCCATAAATGCAGGAAAAATACAAGGGTTAACTATGCATTTAGTACCTAAATTATTAGTTTTAGTATCTAAACTTTCAATGTTTTCAAAATCATATCTAATTTTTACTTTTTGTTTCATTTTAATACACACTACTAAAAACTTAACGTATTTAGTACTTAAATTATCAGTTTTGGTCCATTTTAATACCTAAACTTTCAGTTTTTTTCAAAATTTAATGTTAAATTTTGAATATGGGTACAAAAACTAAACATTAGGTATGGTTTTGAAAATTTAAAAGTTTAGATACTAAAACGGATCAAAACTGATAATTTCAATATTAAATTCATAATTTACCCAAAATCCAGTTTACCATTTTAAGATCTTGCTTCTCAGATCAAAGACCCAAACAAACACTTTCGAATAGAAAAAAATGATTTTTTTTATTTAGTTCAACTCTTAAATTCATAAGTTCGATTCAATTTTAAGAAATGAGTTATAAATTAAGACTCCAATAATTAGAATAATTTAATTTTTTTAATAATTAATAGATTAATTTTTAAGTTCGAGTTGAGTCTTTCTCTACGTGATATATATATAATATGTATTATATATAATAGTAAAAAATCATTTAAATTATAAATTTATAACATTATAAATATCTATAATTAAATTTAATAATCAATAGATTAAATTTAAATTATAACATTATAAATGCTACTCTGGAGGATTTCCATTTCCCTTATGATCTTATATCTATCCAAGACTAGGGATGGGCATGGGACTCGACCTCGACCAGATCAGATCGGGTTTTTTTTTAAAAAAATTGGGTTTGGGTCAGATCGGGGTTTTTAATTTGATGTTCGGGTCGGGTTGAGTTTAGGGTGAAAAATACCCGACCCGACCCAATCCTAAAAATATAATATTACCTTATATATTTAGGTATAATTACAATAATATCCCTTTATATATTATTTTTTTCAATTAAGTCATTGTTTTTATTGAATAAAAAAGATTTTTTTATTATTTTGGGTTGGATCGGGTTTTTAAGTTATATATCGGGTTTGGTTCGGTTCGGTGAAATTTTGTTTTGGCCGGGTCGGTTGAATCTCGGGTGGAGGATTCTTTGTTCTCGGGTCGGGTGGACTAAAAATCCGACCCAACCCGATCCATGCCCATCCCTATCCAAGACCGCAAGTGGTGGCACTTGATTTAGGATGAGAAAACATGGTGGTGAAAGTCATTGCAGATGAAAGCCTTTATCGAAAAAGAAGCTTAAATCCGTCGGAATGTATGTTTTCAATCAAAGAGGGTATGTAGTGGCAATTCCATCATGAACTAAAACAAAAACAACGATTTGAAGAACATTATTAAAGACTTTTTCCAGTATAGATGAATTGACAGTCAACTTCCATTAAGTTTTCATTAACACACTAAATTATTGGTGGAACAAATATAGGAGAGAGAGAGAATTTTTGTTCCATGTTCAAAGTTTATGTTTGTAAACTTTTGAGAACTTATTAGATAGTTTTTAGTATTAACTTTTCTTAAATTCCTTCTTCATTCTGCTTTCTTGTGTATTATATCTATCTGTCCTCCCTACATAAGCACAGACAGAGGTCATAGACTAAGCTCTCATTGTTTTCCTTTTACATTGCAGTTCTAAAATGGCAATCTTCCTCTTAATTCTCTATCTGTCGTTCTTCTATTTCTCCTCTGGTTTCTTTATTTGTTCTCACCGGCTTTGAAGAAACCGGAAAGGTCTTGTTTTTAGAGCTCCGGTAACCATTATTATTATTCGTCATGAGGACATAGTTCCTTGCAGGTTGGAAATGGCAGTTCTTTGAAATAAGCTTTTACTTCACTGCAACTTATCCAACACCGAGTTCAGTTTCATGCTCCGGATATTTGAAAACTCAGAAAGGTTTAATTACGGAGGAGAAAAACCAAAACTTGAAAACAATATATATTTTTTTTTTCTGTTTTCCTAGCAAAATTGAAGAAGAGACTCCATGAATCCTTCAAAAGCTCACAAAAGGGTGATCAAGAAGCTCATCCACCGTCCCCCTCTTTCTCCAGACCCTTTCAGGACTCATGTAAGCACATCTCACATGCATTACGCGAACCAACAACGATCTTACTCACTCCAAAATCAGCATTCTTCACGTTTCCTTTCCCGTTTATCAACAGATTCGACGGTTTTATATCGACATGAACGATTTGCATTCCATGCAGATACTGCAAACCTCGTACAACGCTTGCCGCAATCCCGGAAATAGCATGTTCAGGAACATTTGCACTCACACGGATTTAACAACATATTCTGCTCCATAACAAAACAGAGGTCTTCTCCTGTAGTGTCAAATACTGCCACGTGTCTTAGAGTGATTTATTCAGCATGCAGGTAACAAAACACCATATTTTGTGAAGTTAATCGTTAATTAAAAGTGTGCCTCTAAAATTAAGAGTTCATTGCGAAATGCGAGGAAATAGGAGGTTTTGAATCATCCTACTCGTGCCCTAAACCAGTTGATATCAATAATGTTCAATAACTCACCGATTACCAAATTTGACTGGCAAAAGCTAAAGTGAAAGGAACAAAAACCGAAAACAATGTCTATACGTGTGAGAGAACAATACAGATCATTAAGGGATTCATCGTTTTCCAATGCCCACAATTTAAGGATCATGTCAAAATATATATATAACTTCCACGTTTAACTCCAATTAATGAAATGCAACAAAAGATTAGACCCTCTTGTTATCTGATCTAAGAAGACCCATCTGTCCTGTAAGCTCATCCATATTCTGAGTTTTGTCCCATCCATCGTCCATCGGTTGCCCTTCTTCATCTTCCTTGCTTTTACCCTCTATTGAGGTTGATTCAATATCCTCAGGATCTGGACTTCGCAAAAAGTCGTCCCAAAATGTAGTGCCATCTAGCAAGGCATCTATGTCTGGATCAGAAACAATGTCATCGAGTTCTAAGGGTACCAGACCATTTCCAGCCAAAGCAGTGGGATCAACCAATCCATCAGTGCCAGTTTCAGTAGGAATATCAACCATTTCTGGTATTTGACCAAGCTCAGGCATAATTATATCTGTCTTAGTGGACGTTGATGGTGGCTTTTCTGCTCCGACCAGTGCAATCACATCTAGAAATGATGCTGTTGTGATCTTTTCAGAGGATGTTGTACATGGGGAGGATTGTATTTCAGATATGGCAGCCGAGGGATGATGCCCTGAAATACCTGAAGTTGACGGTACAAATGTTGACTGACCTGAGGTTGGTGGCACCTCTTGAAGAGACAACCCTGATACACAGGTTGAATTGTTCCCACTACCGTCCAATCCACTAGACGATGATGAACCGTCGCCTAACATGATATGTTCATTATTGTTGTTGAAGGAATCCAGTATGGGAGAAGCATCCCCTTTCATTATCTGCATGAGCATTGCTTTTGCCTCATTCATCAAAGGTTGATATTTAACAATCTGCCCATCAGAGGCCGTGGAAGTGTTACCATCTTGCTTTAGCCTCCTTTTCTTGTTGGCTTCAGTTATGTGCCTATTGCTCTCATTTTGCTGCTGCACAAATTGAGCAAAAAAACCAGGGCTCTGCATAGCCTTCGCCAAAAATGACATCATCTGCTGCTGCCTTTGCTCCATCCCCTGAAGACGTTGCAACATGTTCTGCATCTGGTTATCAGTAGCCTGATGCTGCTGCCTTAACCTAACAAGTTCTTGCATAAGCACTTCTTGTCTCTCTTAAGCCTCTCTACCTCTTCCTCGAGCCCAAATTTCCCAACCTCAACACAGGCATTCACAGATGAATTCTGTCCTTGTGATTGCTGTGTCTGCTGATTACCATGGCCATGGGCAGGCTTTCGCCGGCTTATGTTCCGAAGCAGGTGTTTCTGTCCTCTTAAAAACCCCTCATTTGCAAATTCCCAACGGTCTGGATCAACCTTTCGGAAACCCTGTTAAAACACAAGCACAGAATATATGAAGAAATCATAAAAATCAGCAGAACTGTCGCTGAATAAAAGAAATACATAAATACTGGTCCCAACGAACGATGGAAGAAGGGTACAGACATCCATCTGTTCCAGCAGTGGCTTGATAATTTAGGAACTAGTTTAAACAAATAAGCTAAAGCCATATTCTTTGAACTTTTTCTGGTAAATGGGGCAAGGTTGGGGAAAATGTACACTGCATAATAGAAATTCAAGAAGAGACGGCGTAGAAAAAGTTTTCTTTGCCGCAGTGTACATTTTCCCCAATTCCCAAGGAATGATGGAAGAAGGTGGCAGCAATAGGTATTCTCTACTTTAGGAACGAGATTAATAAAGAAGCTGAAGCCCTATTCTTTGAACTTATTCTGGTAAATGGAGCAAATATTGGGGAAAATGCACACTGCCTTATGCTGGTTAAAGTTGACTCAACTAGAGTACACCTAAATAGAAACTAATACAATGAAGCTCAAGTAGAAGGTGGCAGCTGGAGTCAACTAATTTCAACCATATTGAACATAAGGAAGTGATTAAATGCAATGCCCAATTGAAGATGCCAAAAGTAACATATATCTCAGTCGAAAGGACATCCGTGAAGGATAATGCAATAAACATAATGCAATGTCCATGGTAGGATCATGCCAAAGTGATAATTATCCCACTCCCAAGGAAATTTGTGGAGTCGGCATAAAATACAATCAAATCCAGACAATACTATAAAGATTCGACACAAACATTTTGATAAAATGACAATCAAGTCACACACCTAGGATCATGTGTGTGCAGAGTATCTATGACGCACATGGACATAAAATGCAAGTGAATATGCATGCAAAGTACATAAAAAATACGAATACAGTTTGAGAATTGCATATTTAGTAGTAATAAAGATTTCACTTATTGCCTAGTTCTTCAACTTTTAAGACTTATGGAAGAACAATCAATGAAAGGATTTTAACTAAGATCTTA